ACATTATCTATTAAGATTTGCACTTAATGATAGTTGAATATGTACTCATATTCATTTTTGCAAAGTTCTCTTAGTAGTCAATCTTATAAGTTTGAGTATACCCTCTAGTCACCAAATCTTGTCTTGTATCTCTCTATAATTCATATTGTACTTTTTAATGAATGTCCACTTGCACCCTATAAGTCTCTTTCCCTTGTGCAAGTCCACCACTTTCCATGTCTATTTCTTTTCCAATGTTTCCATTTCAACATTCATAATATTTTTTTATTTCTCACAGGTTAAAGTCTCAGATAGTGTATTAGGATAGATACTGCATTTGGACTCATAAGGAAGTCTTTATGAGATGGACAACACCTTTCAAGTGATATAAAGTTTGAGACCGTGTAAAGTTGATGCTTAATGCATTCCCTCATCTCTTTTTTGAATCCAATCGGTATGATGATATCAGAAGGCAGATAGTTCTCAAAGCTTATCCTATTTCCAAGTTTTTCTTTTTTGAGTATAGATGAGAAAATCGTGGGTCCTGTAGGGTTAACGGTTTAGGTTCATTTTTTAATTATGGTTTTCTGGTGTTATAGTTTAGATTCTTTTTGTAGACTAAGTTTTTCTAGTATTCTGGTTATTTGCCAGGGTATAGAGGATGTACTGCGTGAGGGTAAGGCAATATCAAACAAGAATAAGTCCTCCTTCCAATATAGTTTCCCTCTGAAATCAAGGTTGATCAAAGAATGACTCAATCTTAACAAAAATAATATCAGCAAATACATAAAACTTTTGAATCGAATGATGGTAACATTTGTATCTCTTCTATGTGGGTGAGCACCCCATAAACACACCTGATGGACCTTGGGTCAAGTTTCCTTCCTTAAGATTGATGTATATGAACATAGATAAGACATCCAAAGACTTTAGGAATAAGGTTATTTACAAGACTTACATCAGGAAAGAAGATAGCTAGGACCTCTATAGGACAGTGAAATTCTAACACCCTAGATGTAACATGTTTATAAGATAGGTGGCAATCAGTACAGTTTCCCTCAATAGTGTCTAGGCACATGATTTTCAAATAAAAAGACACGTGCAGTAGTAAGTAAATGGCTATTTTTCCGTTCTGTCCACTCTATTTGTTGTGGGGTATAGACATAAGAAGATTAACGAACAATCTCTTCACTTTAAAAAAATGAGGATAATGTTTGATTATAGTAATCACGGGCATTATCAATGTGAAAGCATTTAATTTTTACCAAAAACTAAGTTCTACAGAATAACATGACTACTTCATATTTGAATTTTGGCAAAAAGAATCACGTCACTTGAGTACAGTCATCAATAAATGAGATAAACCATATAACCACATAAATATTAGGAATATTTGAAGGCCCCCAAACATCACAGTAAACCCATGTAAAGAAAATCTGTTTTTTATTACTAAAAGAAAAAACTACACATTTGTTTTTTCTAGTTCATATAAATCACAGTTTAAGTGTTTGTTATTGAAGTTTTTAAATAGAGAGGGAAACATAACCTAAAGAATAGAGAAAAAAGAGCATCCTAATTTTTTGTGGTATCATCATATCTTGTATAGGAAGCTGGTAGAGAGAGCGTTATGTGGCAACTCAAGTACATCCAAGAAATATAACCCGTTCCGAACCTCAATATGTCTAATCATCTTTCTCAAGTTCTAGTCTTGAAATTCATAATGAAAAGAAAAGATCACTTTACATTTAGGTTACATGATAGCTTAATAACCAATGTTGCATTTGTGCATAATTTGAGAACATGGAGTACATCAGTAAAAATAAATTGTGGATTAACCTTCATGTTTCCAACTCCTGCTACTATTGCTAGTAAACATCAGCAATAATGATTTTCTTATTATTGGGACAAGGGACATAGGTGCTAAAATATTTAGAATAGTTGGTTTTGTGATTTTTGGCTCGAGTCAATGATCCAAGATAGTGCAAAAGGTTTACCTGAGTCATTTAAAACCTGGAAGGTAGAAGACGTGTCCAAATGTGTCAATACACTTGTACCTTCAGCTTTTTCCAGAGAGTCAAGTTGAGTCCTCAGGCGCTCAAACTTCTGTTTTAGAATCACCAAGATCGTCAGTCTGCTCTTCCTCTTATCGGTTGGCCATATGTGTCTGGCCTTGAAACTTGGGAGGAACTAGTCTTGTAATCTCAATCTTACTGGAGGTGTTAGATTTCCATGGAGTTTCCAACATTTTTCCTTTGTCTGTCTTGATTTCTTGAGAAAGTACACCAAAGATTATCCTAGTTTTCTCCACCAGTTGTTGGGATTTCATAGTGACTCGGCTCCTTCGTCTATTTGGCGTGGTTTGAGCCTTTAGTTGTTATTACTGAATTTTTACTAACCTTTAGTTGTTATTACTGAACTTTTACTGAGCCTTTAGTTGTATTCTCTC